GGGGGGAAGGGGGGGGGAATGGTTTATAGTCATAGACCTTCTGTCATCTTTCTTATTTCCAAACTGGGGGCAAGGCCCCTGACATATCCTGGTTTACATTTTGGATTGATGACCCTTGAAAATTAATTAGAACTCTTTCTGGTGTGTACTGGGAGCCTGGTAAGAAGATGGCTAGGAGTGACAGTACCACGATGAGTATTTCTCATGTTTGACAGTGAATGACAGGCTATTCTGCTCTGTCCCCATCTGTTGCTCTGGATAAGGAATTTACTTTAGATGTTCATTCTTCTTGCAAATACCCTGCTTCTTGATCTGGCAGAAGGTAGTAAAAGCATACAGAACATAACTGCTAGCATTTCTAGAGGTAGAAGAGTTGTGGAAAGTGCACTGATGGGATTCTGCCATAAGCCAAGGGATGGTGGGAATTGTGCACTGAGATTTAGGGTAGACTGAGAGGCTCTGTAGCAGCCAGAAGCTAAGTAAATGTGTGTGCTGAAAAGTATGTCCACGTACGCTGAGGATTAGCAGTATTCAAGATATAAGTGCTACCATACAGGCAGTACATGATCGGCAGCCGGGTTATTCGTGGTGAGGCTAGCAGTAATCGCCAGATGGCCGGAGGAGAGTTTGAAGGTAAAGCTGCAACATACTGAATGCTCTGATTATTATGTACTAAGGAAGTGTGAATCCAAATGCTGTTGCAGTTTCACGTTTTGCTTTGTTTGTGGAATATAGTGTTTCCTTTACTGAAATGAGTAACAGACTGGAAGTGTATTGGGATATTAACCGTGGAGCCTCCTGAGAAGTGTGAAAGTTTTCTGCAGTTATTCAGTGCTGGGTGGCGGAACTGTGTAGGGAGATCTCGTCCACCTGAGCTAGAGCTCAGCTGGGTGTCAGTATAGGAGGGAGAGTCACTTGCATGTTCTGTGGTGTTGTGCACAGTAGGTAACCTGTTGGGATAACCAAATCTAATTGGCGAACAGGTTTTGGTGGAATGGGGCAGCTTCTGTTACTGCAGCTGTTTTGTGCTGTGATACAGTCTATGTGGTCTGTCATGAAACAAACATATGACTTTGAAGGCACAAACTGGTTTAAATGTGATCATATCACTCCTCGGAGCATTAGAATTTAGTACATAATATGCAAGTTACAGTTGTTTTTATGTGGTGCGTGAGGTACAAAAGATGATATCCCCTCTGAAACGTTGATGGAAATCCTGATTACATCACAAGTAACAAATGTGGATGTTTTCATTTTTGCCTCTGTGATCCTAACAGCAAATTACAGATCAGGATGAAGAGTGGTTATTACTTCAGAGATGCAACTTGGGAATGGTGTGGTTGGTGCAAGTCATGACTGGAGTACCATGGCAGCAGGATGTGAATGTGAAGGATGGGGAAGCTGGAATAGGAAGAAATGCAGTAATTTGGAGCTGAGATGATTGGGGAAACTCTATTGATGTTCCGGCTCTTGGCACTCTCTAGATGGTGGCTCAGAACGAGGGACACGGGCCAATGTGTGGTGTCCCCTGCTCTGTGGTAGCACAGGAGGGTGCAGGTCAGCACAGAAGTGTTGTGGCTGGTTTTAGGATGCTAATGCATATTTTGGCATACCTGGCCAAGTGAGGGAAGGCGCTGTTGAGCAACAAGAGAAGAGGCTGGCAGCAGGTGCACTTGTGGGAGAACATGGTAATAGGAGTTTGTTCAGCGTTCAGGCTGGTATAACCTGTCGAATGCACTCAACACTAAGTGGTTACCAACACAGAGCCCTAACAGGATTCCAAGTCAGCTTGTGAAGTGGAGCTGGGTGATTGTTAGTTGTGTTCAGTGTGGGTTATGTACCTTTTCCACCTAATACTTCCCACTCTTTAAACTCCTTAAACTCTTTTACTCTCTTCTTCTTGAGCATACTCTGCCCCCTGGTGCTAGATGAAAGCTCTGCTGTCTGTGGAATAAAATAGGATAGCGCTCAGGTGTGGTCCTTCCACTGGCATGTGGTTGTGGCTGTGAGTGGCTCTCTTGTTGTGGGGGGAGAGATCAGCAGCATCTTTGATTCTGTTGCTTCTTTTCCAGGAGGTGAGTGTCGTGCCTGATGAACCTCCTCTTCCGCCGTCGCTGGTCTGTAGGCAGCGATGACCTCGTTTTGCCAGCCGTCTTCCTTTTCCTCCTTCATACCACCTGGTAAGTGAGAAGAGCAGGTGCTAAAGAGAAAGATGCTTTGAATTGTCTCATGAATTATTTTTTGCTGCTCCTGTTACTTGCAGCTATAAGGCTTCCTGTGCTTATACATGCAGCTGGAGGGCTTGTATGGGACATTTCTGAGAAACACCAGTGTATTCCCAGCTTTTGATTCTTTGGATCTATGCTATTCAAAGTTCTAGTTCCAATTTCAGAGAGAAAGTCTGACTAGAGTTTCCTGAATCCTCCTGTGCTAGCCAGGGTTGTCCACTGTAATTTGGGGCTGTGTTTCTGTACAGGTGCTCAGGGAAAGTGACTGGAGTAGCAGATCCCATGGAGTAGCATGACTCGACAAAGATCAAATTGTTCTGACTTGGGCAGCAAGGCCTCTACATGGCTTGTGGGGAAGATAGTTCCAGAACAAATTAATACAGACTGTAAGCAGCTGAGTTAGCTGTCAGAAAACGTGTGGGACACTGAGGATCTTCAGTAGCTTTGTGAGGAGAACAGGTCAGCTGTTACATGCAGATTTGTTTGGCTTTGGCTTGCTGTTGGTAACAAGCTGGTTTGTCACTGGCAGGTTTGTGATCCTCTCTGTGGTGCTCTTTGGGCTGGTGTACAACCCCAACGAGACCTGCTCGCTTAACCTGGTGGACCACGGCAGAGGCTACCTGGGCATCCTGCTCAGCTGTATGATCGCAGAGGTGGCAATCATCTGGCTCAGCATGCGAGGCAGTATCCTGTACACAGAGCCCCGGGACTCGATGCAGTATGTGCTCTATGTCAGACTGGGTAAGAGGCAGCGGCCTGAGGCCTCCTAATGACTCAGCCTCCACACTGCCATCTGCTATCGCAGAAGACTTCTCTCCCTATCCCCTGACAAACACACAGCTTCTGAAAGACATCCAGATGGCCACTTGTATGTGCTATGCATCTGAATACATCATGTATGCTGCACCCTCTCATTGCTGTAAGACTCTCATACAGTGCCCCAAATATCTTCCTAGCAAACCTTCACCTTATCACCCTCATTGTGATGCAGGTACATCACTTTACCCTAACAAAATATGCTCCCCTTCTGTCTTGCAACAGAGATCTTCTCCCACAATGAGATGTATCCGCACCTCTCCCCCACCTTTTTCCACAAGATTTCCTATGATACAGGCATATGCCTGTGTAAGTCATGGATGTTCCCACCCTGAGGCATGTGCATGTCCTCACCTGTCACATGTATATTTAAGTCTGCACCCACCTGCCTTGACATGTACTTGACCTCTTGACTCACCCATGTGATGCAAATATCTGTCCACCAACCTACACTTTGATACTCTTCCTCCAGGCGCTGTGAGGTAAATAGATGTACTTCCTGCTCACTCGTTGTATCTTCTCTCCTAGGCTGTACATTTGTCTTGTCCTTCTAAAAACAGTTCCTGTCTTACTCACCCACCTTGAACCTTAAGAACTAGATCAGAAAAAGGATTTTTCATTTCCTTATTTCTCATACGTGGTTTCCCTTTTAGCTTTTCTTCCCTCCTCTCTTTCTCTTCTTCCAGGTACAGAAACATGGTCAGACTTTTTTGTCCTGATGAGGGTCTTGGGGTTTTTTTTGTGGTTTGTGTGTGTGTGTGTATTTTGGGGGGGGGGGGTTTTTTCTGTGTTTTGTGGGGGTTTTTTTGTTTTTTTTTTTTTTTTTTGAATCTGAAGAGAAAATCTTTTGGAGGGACAGTCAAGCCCATTCAAAAGAAAGCATCTCATGGCCTATTCTGTTTTTCCTGTATTGTTTTCATGCAGAATTCATTAAAATCTGGGTCCCCTTGCTTGAAAGCTCTATCTGAGAGACAGCCTTTGAGTGCTAAGTGCAATCATTAACATGAAAAGCAAACAAATCTCTCTCTCTCTCTCTCTCTCTCTCTCTCTCCAGTTTTCCAGACATACTGGAGTCTCCCTAGGGAAGCATGTAGAGCCTGACAGTTTGAGTAACACTGTGTTAAAACCAGACCAAATGGGGCAAGGGAAGGAGAGAGAATCCAGAGAGAGCCATTTTCCTACCCAAGTATCATCCTTGTCTGCCTTAAACTATACCTGTGTTCAGGGTCTGTATTTACACTGTATCTTGGGTCTTATAGATACTTTTTTTTTGTGTGTGTGTGTGTGTGGGTGGGTTTTTTTTTATTGCAATGGTTTTATCAGCTCTTTTATGATAAACATAGGAATGTGACCCTAGCATAGATAAGGTCCATATGACTATCCCATTTTAAACATGTGCTGTATAATACATATGGATCTAGGGAAATCTTTCCATTGCGAACTGAGAAAGATCTTGTCTGTGCTATTGCTGCTTCTACCTACCTGCAGTAGGTAATCTGAGAGAGGAGACAAGCCTAGTGCAATGTAAAAACGTAGGCTGCACTGGTAAAGAATCGGGTTCAGCCCTGATTCCTTACCCACAGCTGTTGAAAGCTCCATTTGCTACATCATTCCTTGTGCTGGTCTTTCCAGGATGTTGAAAGTCCACAGTAAGCTGCCTGTGGAGGGATAAACTGTGCCAACATACTGAATTGAATAGATGGGAGGATGGATGGTTAGGATCTGCTAGGCTGGAAAATAGGTTCAGTTGTCAGTTCCATGAAAGACTTGCTAATGAGTGAGCTAATTACCTTCTCTGTAACTTATACCCCATTCAACTTTGGGCTTGTAATGCATTGGGAAAGCGAGAAGATGGGCACTTTAAAGCAGTATTTCCAAACTTTTTTTTTCAGTGAGTCACTGTCAACCCTCAGTTTCTTGTTTGTTATCAGGCTAACATGGAGAACTGAGGAGCCAATAAATGTGTCCTTGAGGACTGTGTCCTGTGAACTATTGCTGTAAGGACTGCAAAGGGTGGAGGTGCCATGAAAATTTGCTGAGTGTAGTAAGCAGAATTAATCCTGAATACACACTACCTCCTGTAATTTCACCTCTTGTTTTGAATCAGGCCAGGTGTTTGATGTAGTTAAGATGTAGAAACATGGTGCATCTTGGTACATAGGGGAATCTTTCCACTGTAGTGGGTGGAAGGTATGGCTGTTTGATTCAGACCTCTGATGCAGCCTAGGACACTTGCAGCTCTGTAGGTATGTAGTCCTTGCATCACTTAGGAGTAGGGAATGTGAAGGAGATGTTACATTTTTGGGCTCATTTTCTTGAAGATTACCCTGCAAAGCACTGAGACTCAGTTCTGCAGTAATTAATTCTGTGCAACTGTCCTGCTAGAGTAAAGAACCTGTCACAGGGGAGTATTTAGTTGCCAACTGTTAGCAGTCCGCGCAGTGTTCTTGGGTATCCTCTGCAGAAGATGGGGATAGACAGTTGTTAATCATGAGCGAGGTGCTGCTACTATCCATTGTGTTCCTTTTGTTTCAGCTATCTTGGTGATCGAGTTTGTGTATGCTATTGTGGGCATCGTTTGGCTAACGCAGTACTACACTTCCTGCAATGATATCACTGCAAAGAGTGTAACTTTGGGTATGTATTTGGAATGTGGTTTGTGTGCGTTCCTGTGTATGCACAGAGATCCTCTTGTCCTGGAGAGCTAGTTCATTCATGCGTATGGGGATTGACTGTTGGAAGTGGATTGTAGCTGTAGATGGGATGCTTGTTATCTTGAGATGTTTCTGCTCGGAACAATAATTCTATTCATTTTTATGTGGTGTCTACAATGAGACAAGAATCCTTGTTCCCATGGTAGGGTCTGTCTGGTGAATCTGAAAGACCTGATTCCCCTTCTTTAGTTCACAATGGCTTTACTCTTTTCCTAGAATTCCTTTTGAATCTCAATCAGTCTCCTGGGGGTGCCTGACACTAGTGTTGCAGTTCCCCTAGATACTCAACAAGCACTTAATGGTCTTCTGCATGGGTAATCTCCTAAAACAGCTGGAAAACCTAGCTGTGGTCAGAAGCCTTTCCAGAGGATTTTCTTTTGCTACGGCTGGCTGCAAGAGTATTTGGGGTAGCTTCCTCTATCTGCCCTGCAGCACTAGAGAGGTGGGTGTGATGTGTATGGAGAAGAACAGGAGACGGCACTGTCTTAGGAGCAGAGCACCTGACTTCTCTTTCTTTACAGGAATGGTAGTGTGCAACTGGGTTGTCATCCTGAGTGTCTGCATCACTGTCCTGTGCGTCTTCGACCCAACAGGGAGGACCTTTGTGAAGCTGCGTGCCACAAAGCGAAGACAGCGCAACCTGAGGACATACAACCTGCGGTAAAGCAGCATTTCTGGAAGGGCACCCTGCTTCCTTCAGTTCTTAGCATTCTTCCTGCCTTACTTCAGAGAGCATTCAGTTTCAAGCACTGCTTCTCTTTGCTGTTGAGGGTCATTTTAGAAGAATGCAGTTCAGACTGTCAGGTGCTGCTTGTGGGCATCTGTATTCAAAGTGCAAAGCAACATGAGATCTGGCTGGATCATATGTTAGTCAGTGGACTTGTAAATCCTTATGAGGCCTTTGTGCCACAGTGCTGATCACAACAGCTTGTTTGTCCACCCTGTGGCATTGTATTTTGCCTAGTAACAGTGAGACAGTACTTAGACTTAGCTTAGGTCAAGGCAGCATCTTTTTCCAAAGCCTCTTTCTTCCTTTATTTTTATCTTCTTCAAAATATGACCTTTTGGCCTGAGATGTCTTATATATGGTGTTGGCTAAGAAGCAATTTTTTCTTTTTTGTTGGCAGTTAGATGTTTTAATTAAGAATTGATTGCATCTTGGTGAGCTACCCAGATGAAGATATGAAAGCTTTTTTTTCACCAAGCAAAGCATTTTTCAGAAGTTCCCTTCCCCTCCCCACCCCCCTCCCAGTACTGAGGCAACACAAATGGGGGCTTTGTTTTCTTATGCAGTCTTAACATATGTAGCCGTCTGCAAAGAATGTGGCTTTGTAGGGCTGAGGACATTAAGTTTTGAATGAAGAAATGAGACTATTTAAAAACACTCTGGAAATCATGCATTTCTCCTTGGGAATGTATGTTCAAGGGGCGTTTTGAATACATAGTCCTCCACTGTCTTGAAATGGGATACTTCAGATTGTCTTTGTGAGAGAAAAATCTTCAGATTTTTCTAGGGACAATGAGCAAGTACAGATATGTTTGAAGGAACCTCTTTCTTCTTGCAGAAAGATAAGACACTCTTCTTTACCTTCTGAATATAGCACTAACCCTCATCTTGAATGTTTAGGATTAGCGCCTTGTTAGCCTAATGTGTGCGATTGTTGCATTGTAATCAGGGCATTCCTAGGGAGCTCTGGATGAAGAAGCTGAACTAAGGTACTGTGGATCTCAGACCCCATGGTATGAGAACCAGAACTATTTTGACTCAATTCATTATTTTTTTTTTTTAGAGGAAACTGAGCACCACAGATTGCAAAGTTCATTTTGCCTGAGAGCTTAAAAATAAAACAAAACAAGTCATCTCCTCTGCACAGATTTTTGAGATCCCACTCACTTACTGGAAGTGAGTGGAAGTATTTATCCTTTTGGTCCTGACCAGATTTTTCTTCCAATGATCTTGTGCCTGCTCTTTGTGGATTCCCACTCTAGAAATGGAGTGTTAACAGATGTTAATAACCCAAATGCTGTGGGGTATAATGTGAAATGGAAACACAAAATGTTACTGTGTATTCAGTACTAGGGCAATCATTTCCAGAGGAAATATTTTGAAATTCTCCACCTGTTTCTGGAGCATGATCCTGCAAGATGCTGAGGATCCTATTGAGATCCCTCAGTTTGAATTTATACATGCCTTTTGATGTATAGCAATAATCTGACTTTGTATTACACTTAAAATCTGCGCTATATTTCCTCTGTCTTAACTCATGAAAGAACTTGATTTGTTTGTCACATTCAGAAGACACGTAATTTTGGTGGCTTCCTTTCTGTAGTGCTCCTCTGTAACTACTGGACGCTTACACAGTGGTTTTCCTTTACTAGTGGCATGTTGATGTGTGTGGGCTTCTTATATTCTTTCAGGACTAAAAAAAAAACAAACAAAAAGGCTCAACTTATTTTGCTGGTACTTTTCTAAGAGAGTTGCTTTAAGGTTCATACTAAACATGTGAAAGTTCAGTGTTAGAAAAATATTTGGGAAAACTTGGAGTGAAAATAGCTCAGAGCACACTTGCTTTCTCAACCCCCACGGTGAAGTTGTGAAGTTCTTAGCACTGCTGCCCAGCTTCTTTGGCATTTGTGGAGCAAACTGATCATTCCCAGCTCTGTCTTAGGACAGTTTTGGAATCTTACTTGGAGGTTATGGATAGTTGTTTTAAAATGTTCAGACATGAGCAGATGGATTGCCCAGTGGAATCTTGACCTTCCATTGCAGGCATATACTCCTTTACCAGCATATTTTTCTTCCCGCTCTCTCGCCTCGGGCTTTTCCTGTTGTGGTCATCTGACAGAAAATGGAAGTGCTCTTTTTTTGATCAGTCTGACCCACATTAAGTTAGTCTATGCTGACATTAAAAAGAAGACCCTGCATTAGAGGGGCTGTGGGGTGCAGGTGTACCAGTTAAAAATAAGGCAATATTACCCTGCAAGTGTAGCAACAAGGACAAGCTCACAACAGTGGAGTAAACTCATCTATAGTTCATTTTAAATAAGGTTGTCCCATTATCTAATTTTTAAGCTGAAATTAAAATGTCATATAAACTAAATATGCGTTGACCTAAACCTGTTGTATTCAGGCTTTTTTGTAACCTTTTCTAAATTAAAAGAAAACCTTTTACTTGTTTTCCTTTTCTAATTAGAATTATGCACCAAACTTGAATCAAGAATGTGAATTGTTATATATAAATAACAGTGTTTTGCCAAATAATCTATTTCTTAGAAAGATTTGCCTCACTCCTGTAGTAAATGCTCATAGTCTTTTGTGGCCCCCCTCTCCTCCAGAAGTAAGTTCTCTTACTGGCAGTGGCAGTAAATCCTAGGACATGATGCAACTGCCAAGTTACCATTAGACTCTCCTTCCATCCGGAAAGCCAGGTGCTCTTGGACATCTTCCTCCAGTAGATCATAGAACATCAGTAGCCCAATTACAGCCATCCCATTCAGGCAGGAGAGCGTGTACATGAATAGGATCGTTTCCCTATAACACGAGCTGGATTCTTGTCTATGTGAACTCTCCTTGACTCTCCTAGCCGAGCATAAATAAGAATATGGTTTAGCATACATGCTACTGATGACAGAGAATAGGCTGCATGATATATATATTGGATCCTACTGTTATGTGTGTGCGGTCGTGTTCTCCTGCCTAATCCTATGGACATACCTACCCTTTATTTCTTTATTGCAGGCATCGCCTGGAAGAAGGGCAAGCCAGCAGCTGGACACGCCGACTCAAAGTTTTTCTTTGCTGCACACGGACAAAAGACTCCCAATCGGTAGGTACCAAGGATCTTTCCTATAAGAGAGCAAGCTCCGTGTATGGCTAACGATACATGGAACTCAGCAGTGCGGTCACTGTCAAGCCTGCATGTGTGTCTTGTTTCAGTGTGGATGTCTGAGATTTGGGTGCACTGGTGAGCCTTAACAGTAGTGTATACAGGAACTGGAAATGTCCTCCAAGAAGCAGCAAGCTGAGTACTTTCAGAAGGAACAGGCTTGAGGTTTTGCTATTTGCTTATTCGTTTTTCTTCCTTCTAGCCAGAGTAGTCTGGTAGAAAAATTGCGTTCACATAGAAGGGCACCTGGATCAGATGTTCTACGCCTAAATACAAGCTGATGTTCCCCTCTAGATAGGAGTGTAACATCCCTGGAGAAGACAGTTGTCTTTTGAAAACGGCCAGTGTTAACCTTCTGATTTTGAACATTACAGGACTCTCTGTGAAGGGAACGTTACTAGCCCTGAAAAGCAACGTAGTCAGATTTAAGCTCTTTCTTCCCCTGAAGCTGTTTTTTACCTTGCTGCTGCAGTGAACTGGGATTATACTTTTAAGTGTTTGTTAAACCATGTTTAGACTCAGCATTTGATAGCACTTTTTGTGGTTAACTTCACAGTTTCTTCTTTATCAGATAATCAGCTTAAGTAGTTTTCGCTGTTGTTTGTGTCAGTTTCAAAGGAAGAGCAGGAAAATATAAACCTGTCAGAATAGGCAAAAGAATGCTTCTAGACTGTTAACAGGCCAAAACTGCTACTTAAGCCATAGATTCAGATGAAGATTGTTGCCTTGAAATTTTCATGTGCTACAATCAGGATTTTCCGATGCAGATATCTATCCAACGGAGCAGGCTAAGGGGCTTGATTTTGCTTCCACAAAAGTTAGCAGTACATTCGTATTGAGGGCGGTGGGAGCAGGTTTGTGCCTTACAGTGGTATTCAACAGGACTCCTAATAACCTGCTGGAGAAGTGAATAACAAGGTGGCAAATTTTGCTGATGACTCAGTAATATTTAGGTTGGTCAGAATTGCGAATATTTGAGAACTCCTCCTGAAGGACCAGGCAGAACCAGGGAACTGTTACCAATGATAGATGAAAGTCATAATACAGAAGGACGAGGTGATGCACATCTGAAGAAACAGTTTAAATTACTTGCATGCACTGACTGGTTCTGAATTAGTTACAACCTCTCAGGAAAAGAGCTGGGAGTTATCAAGGACACATCAAAAAAGACATCTGTGCACAACAGTGGCCAAAGAACCTTAAAAGCTTCGGTAGAAGGGCAGAGAAAATGATATGGAAAACACTAATCACTAACACTAAACACATCAGTGATATGTCCTCACTTAAATATGGTGTGATATTTGGTCTCCTTAAAGATGCAGCAGAAGAAGGAGCAGATGGAAGGGATGTGGACTTGTATAGGAAGAGAAATGAAACTGGGATTTTAACCTCAACAGTGGAAGGTGTAATAAAATGAAGAGCTGTGTAAAATGATGGAGACTCAGGTGAAGCCTGCCTCAACATTTATGTTCATCATAGATGGCAACCATTATGAATTAGATTAAAAGGAACTGTTGGCCGGTGTTGCGTAGTTATCCTCAGGATGCAGTTTCCAAAGTGTGAATGGCTGCAGGAATCATCATAGTCTTTTCGTAGAAATCCAGCAACATGTGCTGGATGCCAGTCCTCCCAGTCACATGCTGCAGGAGTACTAAATGAAATGCCACCACGTTCCAGGGAGCTTCCCAGCCTCAACCTGCTGCCAGCTTTCACAAGTCATCTGCTAGAACTGGTTAGGAAAACCCATCTGGAAAACTGAAGCAAAACATGCTTTGTGCAATGGCAGTTCAATCAGCAATATTCCCTTGGTGGTTATTTTCTGTTCCCCTGCTTGCCTGTGCTGCCTCACCAAAGAGGTGCTTTCCAGGTGCCCTGGCTTCCGTTCTCTCTGACCACACAGCCAGGTAGCCTTGTCCATGTATCCAAAGATGTCTGTCTGGAGGGGGCAGCATGGGCACTGTAGGCTGGCTCAGGAGCCCTGAAAGGAGAACAGGGGCACCTCAAAGGTAAGTCCTGAGAGGCATCAGTGTTGCCCAGGCAGTTTCTGAACAACCTTCATATTATTTCATTCATATTTCACTTTGTGTTATGCTTTTTATCTATTTATTTAAAAAAAATTTTGCATTCTGCAATGAGTGTCTGTTTCTCTCTTTTTTTTTTTCTCTCTCCGTCTAGTTTAGGATGAAAGCAGATACCGGAATCTCCAAGTTCCTTGTGCTATAGAATTTCCATTTTAAATTCAACTTGAGCAATTTCCAGGCTCTTTTCTGTGAGAAAACAGAGTCTAAGTTTGTGTGTCCTGGCATGGCAGCGTGTGGAATGAATGCATATGTAATGGATCAGAAATGATTCCATTGCTGCTTCTCCCAGGCTTCATGGAAAAAAAGTGTTCTAGCAGAGGATGATCATTCCTTTGGCTGGGAAATAAGAGTTCTACAGCGCAGATGTGTCATCAGGGCAAGAATGCAGGGTGTTACACGTTTGGGGTGACCTACACAGTGCTCTGTCCCCACAGATTCTGCCAGGCCCCAGAGCTTCCAGGGTTTGTAACAAAATACCACAGTCAATCCCATGATATAAAATTAGGAGCTCCAGCAGAAACTCTTCTGAAAGAAATACACATTGAACTTTCTGGCCTTTCCATTTGATCAGACTATTAAGAGGTGTCACCATGACTTTGGGTTTATGGGAGTTTGTCGTCTTTTACTTTGAGGCCTTTTGCGTTTCCTGCATGCGTCAAGAAACTGTGCTAGAACGTATGGGGTCAGTATTTGAAGATAGTGCAGTTGTAATGTTGTAGAAGAGGTTGATGCCAGTCAATTTGCTCTTCAAAGATAAAGCTGGCATGGAAAGCTGCAGCATTGGCACCTGAAGTTCCATTCTTAATGATGATTCTGCTTGCCAGTGTAGACAAGTGAAAAATGGTAGGAAGTAATCTTGCACTCCAGGAGTTTGTCAGATAAAAGAATGTAGCTCCT